TTTCTTGTGAGTGAGTAAAAGACAAGCTCAACTGCACATCTTTGACTCTGATGCCACAGAAAATGTGTGTAAGTAGCATTTTTTATTTAGTATTTATTATAATTTAAGTGTGGCTCAATGTCATAGTTTGGGATTTTAGTAGTTTTTCTGTGGTGTGGTTCACTGGAACAGATACTGTTATGTTTGGCTAACTAAATTTTCACACAGGATGAATGAGTGAAAATGAATCTGATCCTACTTTACCACTTTTATAACAAAAAAGACAACTTTTGGTAAGTAATATACTATCTAGCTCTATAACTACATACTAATGTTTCTTTGCTCTGCAAAAAATGCAAGTTCTTTACTCTGAAATTATTATTGTGCTCTGATTATTTTTACTAAATATTTATTAATGTTATCTGTTAACATTATCATGCAGCTCAAACACATTCTGTTAGAAATGCCTTTAGATGTCCTACATTTACAGAAATTACTAGTCACCTATTTTGTTACTTCTGTGTTTGTTATGGGGCGTTCGGTATGAAAAAGAACAAAATAAAATAAGTAATTAAGTAAAACAGATTTGTTTCTGATTTATTTCTGAAACTTTGCAGACTCTTAGTTTTAGAAATCCAGCTGCCTCACAAACAGTAAGTGGGTTCATCTGAAATTCTTCATGACTTCCTAACAAGCAGGAGGGGAGACTGGATAACAGCATCACTGTCTGAATGAAGAAATCAATGATCCACTTGCACTGAATTGTAAGAAGCTGTACACTCCTATTTTAACAACTTTTTTAACATGAAAGTTCATATTTGTAGATTATATTTATAGTACAAATTTGTAAGTACAACTTGATGCAAGATTAAACTTTATACTGTACATTATTATTATTATCTTTTAAACTGGCATTTAGATCACTTTTAAATGGTATTATAAATAATTGTTATTACTATGTTGGGTAGTTTTCTCTGCATGTTGATTAAGAAAATCTGAAGATATACCACATAATTTATGTGGTGTACTGTACTGTCCGGAGACAGTGACAGAGATCCCTCTGTCAGAATGACCTGATAATCCTTAATAAGCAAGTAATCAAGAGCTCAGTTCAGCCTCTCATACAAAGGTTTGCACCTCCTAAAGTTCAGTGACAGTTTAACACACATGTGGATAATAATAATTCAAATCAATTTTACCCTTATTGGTTAATTGTATTACC